CGTATATTTCGCGTATTGAATTCCCCCGGTCAACGCTCTAAGCATCTAGATTGCTTCTTAAAGAATGTGGAGAAAGAAGCGTACCGAAGAAAGGGCTAAACAAACATTTCGTTCTGATTCGATTTTGTATGGAAGCCCACTGCGAAGCGCACACCCATAGGATTCAAGGGTCACACCGATGGGTAGAACATTGTTGCTTACGCAGTGACCCTTGAATGTGTATAAAGAACCTTCTGAGAACAACTTTGATGGCGTCCTAAAGTACGAGTATGTGAAGGTAAACAGCCTTTCCTTCATTTTACATGCTACTGTGATGTATAAAGATGCTCTAAAGTGTGTGTTACACATGCCCTTAACTATTTGTTACAGAAGTGACGTCAAAAGCAGAAAAGGACATTTTCGACAACAAAGAAGCGAGAGAGATTGCCGAAAGAATCATCAAGCAGGAGCTTAATCGAGCCAAGGTCGCCAAATTTGGCAGATCTGGTGGAACAACGTTTGAGGTCAGTCTAAACCGTTTAGTTTTTCTTGCAAGACTTTTTTTTGGCAAAACAAGCTCTTTTTATTTTTGGAGCCAAGCCGTTATCCACAGTTCTACCTAAAGGCTAGAGAAAGAGACCGTTATTGCTATTCTATTCATCTCGGAATCTGCAGAGTGAGGATACGTTTTCATGAAGAATTCAGTTTCGCTCTTGAATTCTTCTTTTGCGATGGAGGATATCTGGTTTTTTTGCTCGCAACTGGGTTGAAATCCGTGGTCAGTGTTTAAAGAAAAATAGGCTATGAAACACGGACAACTGCTGCACCATTCTCTGAAGATGTGGTACGCTTTTGAGTTTTTCTTGGAACCATAAAGTCTTTGAAAAGCGTATCAGTCTCCGCATGTCGTCATGAAGGCTCTTCCATACGTAATGCAGCTTTTCTTGGACAGAAATCTGACGTTGGGTGTTAATCCACCAACGAGAGTGGAAACTGCGACCATTTCATTGGGACGCGATTCAGTGAGCGAATAGTGATCAGTGAAAAAATAAATAACAACGCAGTGTTAGCCCTTAGTGCCTGTGCCTCGATTCCGCCCTCTCAGGCAAAATTGTTAGAAAAGCGTGCAAAATGGCCAGAACGCCGACGCGAACATCACTTTCTTGCGAAGGAAACGAGCGTGAAAGATTAATCTTCAGCTGGTGTCAAACGATAAAACAGTCAAGTAGATAGCCATCGGATCGTGCGATTTATGGCTAGAAAGCCTCTGCTGCTTAGACGATTAAAACACGTTTTCCTCAACTTTCACTCGGTATCTAATTGACTTACCCCTAAAGGTCTGCTTCATTCAAGTGTCAGAATGTAAAACGGATTTTTGTGTCATGATTGTTGGTCGAGATGTCATTAGGACGTGGTTTAACTATTGCTACAAAAAAACACAAAAAATTTACTGGAACCTTTTGGAACTCGGTGAAACTTTGCCCCTAATAGTGAGTATGACATCCATTTTTGACGCCATTTGGAAACACTAGGCGCCGATTTGGACCCACCACTTTGTCATCAAAATCGCTGTAAATTTGCATATTGGAGATATTCGATACCCTTGATCACGGAAATGACATTCATTTTCAGCCCTCGTGCCATATGGCGCCATTAGCCACCGATTTTTCGCTACACCGTTTTTCACAAAATTGATAAACACTTGCATAATGGGGTTGTTTTATGGTCTCACCACGAATACGGCATTCATTTTTCGACGTCAGTGCCATTCAGCGCTCTGCTAGAGCTGAAGCTAACATGAAAAAGGGAGTGATTCTCTTCAGGCCAGGCTCAGCCTTAGCAGCGCGCAGATGATCATAGTGTCCCCCATTAGTGCTACCGACAAGAATGAATGTTATATTCACAGTCAAGATGTCAAATGACCTCCTTATGCAGGTTCCCAGCGGATTTGGTGATCTACGACATCTTGGCGTCAGAGCCTGTGGTGAAGGCGCCAATCGGCTTCAGGTCAAGCGGATGTGATATTTGCGCACAGGATGTAGAACTCACCCTGGGGACAAGTTTTCGGCGAATTCGGTAATCTAGGGTTTTTGGCACCAGCGCCTGTGACGCAGTGCCAGGCTTCAGGCCAAACGGATGTGATATTCGTGTTCAGGAGGTCGAACGACTCCTAGAACCGCGTTTTCAGGCGAATCTGTCCCCTTAGAAAAGAGCCGGTCAAAAACTAGCCAGTTTCCGGAAGAGAGTAATAGTTGAATAGTGCTGTCATTTAGAAAGTACAGCTAGAGCGGAGTTACTTCGTGCTGCTTGTCCTCTTTCATGCATGAGGTTTTGGGTATCTCAGTGGTTCTGCTCTTCCATTGTGCACGATCCAGTAACATTGGAGGAAGTTCTGGAAGTAATCAGACGAAATCTGGTCGACAACACAGCGCTAACAAGTTGGCTATTAGTCAGATGGGATTAAAAACGGAACTTCGATAGCATCAAGAACTTCGCTCCAACCGGTTCACTCTTGACTTGCTAGGAACCTCCAGAGGCATCGCCGTGGCCTTTATACGGTCAGCTTTTTCTAGATAGAGTAGTAGACTTAAGGTATGCTGTGCGAGGGGTGGGGTTGGGCGATGATGAATATAATTACCTATTCAATAAGCGAAAGCGCTGGCCTCGTTTTCTTACTTTAGCTTTTGCTCTTGAGCTTCTGGTTTTCCGCTGGCGGAGTGTTAACGTGTCAGCCTGAGCCCTCAACTTTTCCTGCAGCAAAAAGCTGTAATCTTTTATTGTCAGCTGATTCGGAGCTAAGTTAAGCTCCGCCTACCTCACGACCGCTTCTGATGTGACTAATTTTCCTTCTTTCATGTTGACTGCAGCCAATGCGCGAAACCCGTTGTTCTTGCAGGTCCAGCGCTCTTCCGTCTGTAAATGGCCCTCATTACAATCACACACACTACAAGAGACACATATATAGCACAACGGTAAACAAGTAGACCGCCTTGAAGCACACAAAATTGCAAGGGATCCACGTAAGTGTAGGCACTATTAAGGAGGGATCAAGCCACTGGTCAGTGCCGACTACAAAGGAGCGACTGGTGGACACATCTATCCCTCCTGGTTCTCTTTTAGCTGTATTCAAACTCAGCTGTTTCACTAATTCGTTGTGGTTGTGACTAAATGGTTGTGTTTGTAGCACTTTGCAAAACCAGTCCTGCAAACTCGCTTTTAATGGTCTCATCCTTCCATTTGCCATGCTCCCCTTTCCATCCTGTTCCATATCTGAACGTCATAATCCTCATAAGGGCGTGGTACCAGGCCATTGGAAACATCAGGCTTCAGTCATCGTTGACGTTTACGTGAAACAGCTTACAATTAGACCGCTTTCACTGATCGTGAAGAAAAGATAAGAAACAGGAGAAAGCCATTCGGTTTCCCTTCTCCGCAAGCAGGGTACAGCATCGTTGTGTGAAGACACAGGGGCGGGGGGTCGTATTTGGTCGTTGTTGGGAGAGGGGGGTTGTATGTGACTTTATTATTTGACAGAGATTTGCTGCCCCCCCCCTCCACCTCCTAATGCTCCTCCTTCTCTCGACAGCAAAATTTTTGGGAAGAAGTACTAAAATTCCTGAGAAATTCTGGGAAAAGTGGTAGGAAATTGGGGAAGATCTAGGAAATTGTCCCGTTTCACATTGGCTATATACCCCAGCCCCCGCTCGACGAAAAATCTGAGAGTGAGTGAAAAACTGGAAATTTTGGGAAATTGGCAGGTAGGTGCTGGGGAAGTGGGGGGGGGTCGTACCGAGACCCTACCTCGAGAGGGGGGGGGTCGTACTGACACCTATCATTTCACACATCACGATGCTGTACCCTGTCCGCAAGCGCAAGAGAATCGTTTCCTCTGACACTTCCATTAGCTATAAGAGCTAGCCTACGCTGTTCATCCACTGAACTTTCGACCTTGCCCGTTCCGGAACCTTGCTTGATTACCCTCAAGGATAATGCCGCTATAATTGATGTGCCACAGGCGTACGGCGGTGGTATGGCAAGAACGTGTGACCAACCTAGCATCAGAACCAAGTGTTGAGTTTGGACCAACTTTTTAGCCACCTTTTTGTGAGAAAACTTTTTGCTGGCATCATCCCACGTCTTAACTGGGTGCGACAAGAGTGCATGGCTCTCTCGGCCCACACTGCATTCGCACCTATGTAATTAGCAGCCGTCAAGAGCCTCTATGTACCATCGCTGAACTTCATGCTGCCATTTCCGGCAACCAGTTTTTCATTCTGTTACTATTTCAAGTGTATCATGACTACTAAAAATGAAAACCGTCCCGAGATTCGTCAACAGTGATGTCCGATTAATTTTGGCAATATTTCACACTTATGGTTGATTAGAAGTTTGTCCATTCCGGTGTGTAAGCCCCTCAACACGGATGTGTCTACCGTTCCACGAAAGAACGTTAGCGGGAAGTGTTATGAGTGCCGTCACGCTCGAATTTTCAGCTAGGCTGGAAGGCATCCGAAAGCATTGCGAACTAGTCGCAAAGCCCTTGATCAGGCAGGTATAAGCAAGCAGTGAGGTCCTAGTAATGTGAAAGCCCTTCATGGACATGTTTCTTGGAATAAAGCAAAATATTGGAAGAATCACTTTATCTTATAACCCGCTGCACGTGGAGGATTCGTACTTCCGTTGCCGTGTGCAGTAACAACAACTCTGAATTTTACCTGTAATATAGTACGTGTTTATGGGTCCTAGCATATTACAAAATGTTGAGTAACGGGGGTCGAAATCTCTACAACTCATTTAGTAGAAGTGTTCGACAGATTTTGCGACAAACAACTTTTTCTTTTCTCTCCGCCCTCTTCAGTCGACATCGGAGTCGGAAGGAAAAGCTAAGAAAAAATTAGCATAGCATCTTTCAAGGAAATACCACTGAGGCACTGCGTCGGTTAATAGTTGCTTCCTTAGCAGTTAGGGTCTTGACATCCACTGAGACTCGACCGCTTCCCGCATTAGCTACCTCGAGTTCCTGGAGCTGAGGGGCGCATACGAGTGATGATCATGTGCCGTTGCTAGAGCGACTTGTTGGACCACGTTCCCCTTCTCCCATAGGCAGCAAAGAAGGGGGCTGGACCTGCCACATGGCGCGATGCCACTAGCTCTCAACTTCCATCCCTCGGTTTCAGAAGATTTGAGATGATGGCGAAAAAAATAGAGTCCGACCGGTGGCTTTACAAGTGTACTGCGTACCGTTCGCAGTTGCGGATCAGTCCATTGCGTCGGCACTTCTCTGTAGCCGAGAACCCGAAGACGGTTGAGAGCTGTTTGATGTCTGCACTCATGTTCCATGGCAAAGCTGCGGTCGCTGATATCCGGATCCTCTGAAAACGTTCTGACCGGTGCTTCAGAGTTCGTGGTTCCTCTAGCAAAGCGCGTGAATTAGTGGACAGTTCCTAGTGGTAATGGTAATAGTCCCCAGTGCAGTATGATGTTGCAGACTGTTGTCGTCTTTCCGCTGCTGCTGCGTCATTCATGAAAGATTTTGTAGTACTGGCATCGCGGTTCAGACTAATGAAAAAAATGCCCGTCTTACGGTTCTTAGCTTCTCGTGTAGTGAGAAGAACAAATCTTTTCCACCGTATTCACAGCCAACTCTTCTCGGAAAGTTCCTCAATTGGAACGACGAGAAAAATATGGAGTTGTAATATGAGCATGCCAAGGTTTGGTCAATGTTTGATTATGGCCAGCCAGAAGAATTGAGTGGACTCTAGTTCGCTGCGGACGGTTCGGGCGTGTCAGGACAGTATGAGTGTGTTACATCGAAGCCGTTCTCTGCCTTCTTGTTGAAGCGCGCATGCGACAAAAAGTGGTAGAAAACGAGTAATACGAACGATAATACAGTCATATCACTTGCTCGCTTTAACAACTGGTGGAGAACGGGTTTGGCACCGCGCCAAACTCATCCCGCCTGACACGCCCAACCGTACGCAGCGAACCACACTATATAAATGATGAACAACATGCTAGCTGATAACCTGATACGCCAGTGTTGACGGCAGATAAATGAACAGAAGTATTTGCCACTCTGGAAAGCGCCTCAAACGCTGTCCAGATCTTGAAGCTTGACATGTAAGGCCGAGCAAGGTTCTACTAGACGAATTGCGAATCTGTGTCGGTATCACACGTTTGAGAAAGAAATAATTTACTGTCAACCAATAACCAACAACGGCAAACACAACAAGAAAAGATCGTATAAGGAAGTCTTGAGTCGAGGAGGTGGATGCGAGGTGTAGGTCAGATGCCACTGAAGCGCACGGCTCGCGTCAAACGTCCGGTCCGAAAAGGGATGGTTCCTGGAATGATCCTCGGGGAGCTGGGGGTCTTCTGTGTTACCCCGCGGCCCTTCTTCCCCGTCAGGTCTGTCGCCACTAAGGCACGAATCCCGCCACAAAGGCTTCAGCCACTTAGGCTGTCACTAGGTCACGAGCCGCTAAGGCTCCTGAGCCACTAAGGCAATACGGTAACACGAGCCACAAAGGCTCCTTTGACTTCCCTCCCAATCCTGGGTGGGCCACTTAGGCGCTAGTAGAGGGAGTCCTAAGAAGAAGACGCGAAGATGAAGAACGGATCGAAAACTCTTGATGATGATCTTACTAGTAATCGGACCACCCTTATATATGCCTCAATCCCGCCTCGAGGCGTTGGACTGACCAATAGCAGAGCTGACCTCTGACCCCCTGAGATCAACTCCCTACACCGCCCTGCGCTTCAGCGGCATTCGTGATCGGTTTTGACCCACATCCTCCTCCCTTGCTAACAGACATCACGAGCGGTTTCTCCTGTAGGCTATGAGATCACCATTCGTAAGAGGGAAACACAAAAAATTGCCATTTTGATCGTCATGGATGGCAGCTGCCTGTTACAGTATGAGTCCAACCGGAATTTATACATTATCTCAAAATTCATCATAGGTGGATAATGCCGATGTCAATAAACTTCTACTGCTTTCTTGCTTTCGTTGAAGATTTCGAGCATTTCCAGGCAAACGAGAGTGGGACAGATGAAGAAGTGTCGGGTGCTGAAGCAGCGGCTACTGTCGAGGAAAGTGGATACTCAGGAGGTGATTTTCCATATATGCTCACTGGTTGTCTGCTTTACTAATGAGCTTTAGAAGGGAAAGCGGTAGTTGACTGGTCTGTGAGTAACAACAAAGTCGACGAGTTTCCCAACGGATACGATGGTATGCCCTAACAACTCCTTAACAACTATCTATGTCACAGCCTTATTGATTGTACTGTCTTTTACAAGTTCATTTATATATGTGTCCTATGGCTCTTTTCCGAGTTGAATTGAGCTTCATGCTATTCAAGCAACTCCAGCACGACAGTAAGATCACCTGTACTTCCGTGGGTGCTCAGAAGGGCGAATACGTCACCCGTTGTTCATTTAGAGGAACTATCCGCATTGGTCTACGGAAATGCAAAAGATTGTGTGGTAAGGGTAGTGTGGTCCGCAGGGGACAACTCTGTATCTGTTTCACGGCGAAAAGCCGTAGGATAAAGCAATCAGGAGCAAAGTTGCTCCAGCAACATCTCCTTTTTCCAGCGAAGAAGCAGCTGGATGCTGCTTTGTCTCTTTTGGGATCAGAGTTGTGATCGCAAAGAATTGGCCGCCTGGAGCTGTTCCACCCGCCGCGTGCAACATTTTAACCTTCACCTTGACATTTGAAACTGAGGCTCGAAGGCGTTCCATATTAGGGAGGCGCTTAGCGTGGCACTCTTTTTGGCATTTTCCTCCTTTACAACGACAAATTACGTTTTCACTGGCGAAACGTTTCCGACCGAAGGGGGCGAAGGGTTGACTTTTGCGCTATTGTCGCCTGCTTTCCCATCGATGTGTGACCTATCTAGAGAGCTTTTTTCGAGATGAAAGGCTTTCTAGCCGCATGGAATGACTCTGACAGACTGTGTCAGTCACACTCAGAGATTTCAGAGGTCTCACAAGTGAAACTTGTACACTGGAACTCGGGCATCAAATGAAGCTAAATGCCCCCTCGTCGCAAACTGCCGCTCGTTTTAATAACCTACTATTCGCATAATATTTCAAACACTACTACGACAGTGCGCTTACTTGGCGCGACAATGTCCGGCTCGCCAGGTTTTCTGTGCTCTGACAGGCTTGAGGTGCTTGGCAACAGACATTCCCTAAAATTTCACAGGACGACTGAGCATAACCTGAAGGTGGCTATCGGGTAGCTCGCTTTATATTCACGCGTGATCGGTACGGCTACCGCGATCATCTGTGTTGGCCCATTGGGCGTGTCCAATATATCAGAGCTTGAGGCTCTGAGGAGGGCAACTGGCTCTGCATCATGGTGTTTCGAGCATTGCCCCTTAGTTGACGTGCTCAATGATGCCAGCAACATGCTACTGTCCTGAGCAATAGACTATCGAGAGATCCGAGAGAGTTTCAATGGAAGTCGGAGAAGATTTTCAGAATATTTGGGTCTAATCCTGTTAGAGTCCCCTGCTGTGTGGTCTTCAGAGATGAAGTCTCACTCATTCATTTCTCCCACGGCACACTGCGGATGCGAATTCTGGAATACAATGCCAATTGGGAGTAGTCGAATACACCTACTAATACACCTACAGTAGTCGAATACACCTACAATATTAGTATTCAGTGACAGTTTCACTGATTTCCACTTTGTTCCATGGGACACATATATAAGAACACCTAAGTCATAACACAGTAAAAATAAATAATATTTAAAGATAACATGTTCTTTGAAGGCCTTGCGGCACTTCCGACGTTGCAAACTTCTTCGACATCTAACAGCGTGCTCACTAATCAAATAACAGAGGATCCTGTCGGATTCGTTTCTACCGCAACTCAAAGGATTACTTCGCCCACGACGCCTGTTGTGACGACAACAACTCCTGCTCCCTCCACTGAGACGCACGAAGGATGTTCTGGCCTGCCAGGTTGTTTCACTAACCGATTGAAAACCTGATGTTAACCTTAACATGAATCAATTCCAGCGAGCTTTTCTCCTGCAGATAGCTAGTGGATTGTAGAAATTTCCTAGCAAGTCATACGAATTTGAGTAAACATGATGGGTTACAATAATACATAAGTCATTTTTGCTGCAATCGCTAGGGCGTGTTAGTGGGCTGGGTTTGGCGTGGCACCAGCCTGTTTTCCACCAATTGCTGAATCAGGCGAGCGACGGCAATTGGTGAAAGGCGGGCCGGCGCTGCGCCATACTAAGCCCCCTCCCCCTTACACTCTCCAGCCGCCAAACTAAGCCCCCTCCCTCTTACACGCTCCAGCTCCAACTATTCGCAAAACATCCTATCATATATCTGCCTATCTGTAGCTCAGTGGGTTGGTTAATAAATTCTCGGACATTTGAAGCATAAATTCTAGTTATTGATGACCTGGCATTAGTCTCGTGCACATTTTCTGGCGCTTGGTCTAAGGGTCGTATTTGACTGCTGGAGGGAAGGGAGAAGGGGGGGGTCGTACTCTATTTCAAGAAAAATGTTTTTGGTTGTTGACTTTTGTGGCTTTTCCTGTTCCAAATGCATCAACCCCCTCCCCTCCCCCTCTCCGCTACTGCAACTTTTCAGGGGAAAACTGGAAAATTTTAGGAAGAAAATCCGGGAAAATATTAGGAAGCTGGTTTTGCTAAATTTCCTCCCTATGAGAGAGAATGCCATGGTTTCCATTGATTCTCTCAAGGGATCATGCCGTAACCTTCCCAAATCGTGACATCATCGTAAGTCGAACATCATCGTAGTCAATGCTCTCCAACCTTGAGTTGAACATTCAGGGTTTGCATAAACACTCTGACGTTCCCACTTCTGCTCACGCTGAGTCGTGTGCAACCATACATGCGCTTCTACCCTATCGTCATATTTAGCTCGTTTATTACGCTACCGGCCCGGCCTGGCAGGTAGAACCAAGTGGTACTATCAGTCTTTCTCTCGATTTTATTTTATTTTTGGCTCTATCTGTTCCGATATTCAGGAGAATAGCGGGTAAATTGGGTACCAGATTCGTCTGAGAGGATAATAGTATTGACTTGTACCTGCAAGCCATTGTATAGGCCACATCGCATTCAATAAGCCACTACGATTCTGAATGGAAGTAGAATGCGTGCCGCATCCCACAAAGGGATTGATCAACGGCGAAGACTTTACCTGCCTTTTTCTGATATTTAATTCACTATCATGGGCATCACCTCACCCTATTGGAGTACTCAGCACTCACCTATCCTGCCTTGAAAAACTAGAAATATGCAGTGATGCAGCAATCAGGACTCTACGAGTAGAGCCTGTAACAGGATCCATAGGCTGGAACGAGATACGAGCATGAGTAGCATGGCATTATTGGTGTAGAGTTGAGATAACGTAATTTACGAATGCTAGTCTAATTTCCAGGTTCTGAAGATCTGGTCGGTCTGTCTTGTAAAAACAATCCTTTTCTCTACCACCCCGTCTTTAAGTGCTACAGTCCATGTTAACCATATCGGCAGAAGCGTTGTGAAAGCTGCAAATGCTCAACAGCCCGGTAACCTACCTGATAAAACTAGTTCTGGTGTAGTACAGTTTCTGCTCAGGGATGTAACAAAGTAGGGCGAAGCTGAACAGATCTCATTTTTTGACTTTCACACTCTTATCGTGCAATGCGAATCAATAGCAACCACAATTTGTAATCATTCGATTCGAATTCAACAGGTGTCAAGTATTACGTACCACTTAACATGCTTTTTTCGAGTAGAAGGCTAACTGTCTTTTGAATACTTCAACGCTTGTAATAAAAGTGTAGCTGTTTCCAGATTCGGCGCCTCCTGAAGGTTCGGCAGCTCAAAATCCGTCGAGTTCGGTTCCATCTGCACCACGAGTCATACCATATCCACTTCCGAAGAGCATAGACGGAGCAGTAACAGGTCACGCAGACAAAATTTGTCCTCCCTGTGCACTTCTCGCTTCTTCTTCTCCTCCTACTCCTACTGTAGCAGCACTTGCACTCGCACCAGCACCAGAGGGAAGATCAGTACCAACGCCAGACTCCGGACCTACTCCAGCTGTATCTGCACCAGTTCCTGCACAACCCGAGCCATCTTCACCTGAAGCAGCCGTCGAGGTGGCCCCGGCTGCTATGTTCACGTCTGACAAAAATGAGTCCTCTCAGGAACAATCACAATCACGTGAGGTTGCACCCTCACCAGCTCCATCGGGAGAGTCGGCGCCACCTCCTGCGCCTGAACCCTCTCCTGTTCTTCCTGCTTCAATTCCAGCGCAACCTGAGCCATCCCCACCAGAAGCGGTGATAGCCACGTCTGACAATAACGAGCACTCTCAGGAACTGACATCAGCACATGTACCAGCTCCAGCACCTGCACCTCTCGAAGTCGTCCCTCCCGCTCCGTTACCAAATCCTGCACCTATTTCAGAACCTTCCTCTGTGAGTCCAGCGGCGGAAATCAACAGCCGGAGCGAGGGAGCTGGAAGCGCATATAAAGAAATAAGTAAGTGCATTTTCCTGGTAGATCCACTTCACAACAAACGCTAGGGTTAGATGTAGGGCAATAATCTCGTGCACAAACAATTCCAGCAGGTGTTGAATTGGTTTCGAAAAAAGGGAAACATTATGATTGGCCCAATGGCAATACTAGTTGGCCGAATAGCAGCTAGGGGAAAGTACTTTTGTATGGTCTATAGTACAGATCGCAGTGAGGAGGATGTACTTGAGGATGTTCACATCATAAAAATACTCCGAAACGCATTGATTATCGTTCATGTTCAAGGGAGCTCTTCATGAAATTGACAATCACAGTTAACTTACAGCAGATTGGGTTCGAATGAGCAACTTATATACAGCCATTTTCGCAGCAGACGCTAAGGCGTGTCACGCGTGCTGGGTTTGGGTTCAACGCCAGCCTGTTCTCCACTAGTGTTGAAGTGTGCAAGCGGACAATAGCTGGTGGGGAACGGGCTAGCACCGCGCCAAATTCGCCTCACTTCCTCCTGACATGCCTCAGTCTGCAGCGAGTACCACTGTATCTGAATT